CAGTAAACAGCACAAAAGTCTCCAGAATACAACCCAGTGACAAGCATTTTACAACTGACTTGAAAGAAAAAAACACACGTGTCGCAAGACTATTTGACCCACAACAGACCACTGCATGAAGCCGCTCGATGCACAAAAGCCTGGATACGAAATGCACGAAGTACGCAACAGAGCCGACGCTCTCTGTTTCAGACGATTCATAAACTCACGGGGGGGGGGGGGGGGCACTGGTTCCGGGTGGTATCCCCTGGGGAGGCACCACGATCATGCTGGGTGAACACACACTTACTCTATCATGACGAAGATGTGGTCGATCACGCAGGACACCATCATCACAGCGAAGATGTACGCTGGCAGATAATGGTGCAGGAAGAACGTGTGGTCGATGACGAAGTAGGGCAAGTAGTTGAAGGCGAAGCCGAGCAGGATGATCAGGCCGATATCACACATCTTGTCCCACTCGTCTGCAACAGAGACGGCTTCACGTTGTAACGCTGCCAGGCAGCAACCCCCACCCCCCTCAAGCGCAACGGACTCACATGGAAGGTCGAGAAAAGCGTACGCGCAGCTTTGCAGAGAAATTCACGAAACGACTACGGCGTCAGTGATAGAGATACGGCCTGCTTCGCTCTGATCGCTACAATTCGCCCAAAAGGAGCAGAGGGTGGGGACTGTGCGACGCCACCAGTAAGGTTTCACACATCGGCAGCCAACGCCCGGTGCGGACGCAGCGCCCTCCATAGTCGCCGCACCTGCACCCGCACCTGCACCCGCACCTGCACCCGCACCCGCGCCTCCACTCACCCTCGGGGATGTCGTAGCAGGCGCGGCGGCGGCGCAGCATGTAGAAGCCGATAATGGCCAGGTAACCGAGCAGGGAGCTGCTGGCCGCCAGCCAGACGGCTACGTTGCCGATGAAGTGGACCTGAGCGTTGCTCTCGGGGCTGATCCAGTAGGCGACGCCTCGCTTCAGCGACAGCCAGTCCAGCGGGTCGCTGGCGTACATGTGGCCCTGCACCGTCTCCTGGTTGTTGAACAGCATCTTCATCTGCAGCTCGGAGAACTTGGCCCAGAAGGAGAGCTCCACGTTGCCCACGGGTAGCATCTCGGCGCCGGCCATGTCCTTCTGCTGTTTTTCGCTGCCTTCAGCTGCCATGCACGCGGACACGGAACCAGGTCAGCGCGCCAGTTTGGCCGACAACGCTCTACACACACGCGCCGCTTGTGAGTGTCGGAGTGTGCGTGTGTGCGTGCGCGTGTGTTCTGCGTCCAGAAAGGCCAACTTCGGGCGGGGCAGCGCGACACAGCACGAGTGCATTTTCCATTCCACACAATCGCCACGTTGCCAGGTAACTCGTCTGCGGGACGGTGACCTCTCAATTGCCCCGTTGCCCAGACTTCTCCGCGGTACCACAAACACGACAGGGTTGTTTGTGGTGTCCCCTCCACACTTACGGGTGGTTAAGCAACACCGAAATTCAGTTTTCAACACCCAACAGAGTTGGAGGCAGTACTCGCGCCACCCGTGGCGCGGTGTCGCCCCCTTCCCATCCCCGCAGCACACCCGGCTCCCCGACTCACCGAGCGTGTAGCGGTGCTCCTCGGCGTTCCAGATGGTATCGTCCTGCTGCACCACCTTGTCGCACACTATCTCCATCTGGTTGTGACCCCACTCGGGCAGCTGCTGGCCGGAGTACTTGAGCGCCTGGCCGCTGCTCGCGTGCACAAACCGCACCTGGGGCAGCCGCCACGTCAGAGCGGGCCCCGGTCGGCGCGCCGGGCTCACTGATCGGCTCAGAATCGACGGTGAGCCGGTGGCCACCAGCCGCTCATCCCAGCTGCCGCGTGCCGGTCCGATTCGAGATCCCATCCTCGCAGCATGCGACTGTTAGCTGGCCTAAATGCCATTCAGTCAGGCGCAATGGGCGCGACTTTTGTGACGCACACTTGCCCCTCCCCTCGCCCCGCCACCCAGTCCCTACTTGTGTGTGACGGGGTTTCATGGATCCTTGCCACTAGTCAAGCATAATAACCGGATTTGCGGTGTCTTGGCATTCACCCTGGATAACAGATGTACGCAACAAGTGCAAGACACTACAGTGGAAATGGCTCGCTATTTTCCTCCTACGCATTACACGCAAAATCAGTATACGACTGTCTCCGCAATACGTGTTTGCTCCCTTAAACAATTAAGTCTAGTCCACGCAACAGGCGACCATTGCCTAAAGCATGCGCACATGCACTGGCATTCCTCACAGCTGACTGGGCACCACGCCGCGCCGCCATGCGCCGTCGCCAGAGCCCGAGCACCAGGCGCTGGTCCCGTGCGCTCACCTGGGACCTGATGGCGTGCCACGCGTCACCGGTGTCCTTGGGGTTCAGCAGCTCCACCCTCCAGAGGTTGTTCGCCGGCATCGAGATGTTGTAGTCGATGTAGCAGCTGACCTCCTGTGAACGCGACGGACGGCGGTAACGTCGGGCGGGCGCTGGGCAAGCTGCGCATCCAATCGGCACACATCCGTCTGGATGAACAGCTGCCGAAAAAACTGCGGAAGTCTCAAGAAGCGGAATGGGCTTAACAAGAGTGAAGCGGTAAAGCAAAAAAAGAAGAAGACAAAAACCAAACGAAAGAAAACAACAACAAAAGCGAAGGCCGCCAAACAAGCACGACTGCGCTGGCCCCGCCTGCCTGGGGCCACGTGCTCACCCTGCTCCAAACCACGACCAGAGCTCGCACCACGACTGAACCCCGAGGAGGCCGGGGACCACAACCCGAGGAGGCCGGGGAACACACTCCGAGGAGGCCGGGGAACACACTCCGAGGAGGCCGGGGAACACACTCCGAGGCCGGGGAACACACCCCGAGGAGGCCGGGGAACACACTCCGAGAAGGCCGGGGAACACACTCCGAGGCCGGGGAACACACTCTGAGGAGGCCGGGGAACACACTCCGAGGAGGCCGGGGAACACACTCCGAGGCCGGGGAACACACTCCGAGGAGGCCGGGGACCACACCCGAGGAGGCCGGGGACCACACCCCGAGGAGGCCGGGGAACACACCCGAGGAGGCCGGGGACCACACCCCGAGGAGGCCGGGGACCACACCCGAGGAGGCCGGGGACCACACCCCGAGGAGGCCGGGGAACACACCCCGAGGAGGCCGGGGACCACAACCCGAGGGGGCCGGGGGAACACACTCGAGGAGGCCGGGGACCACACCCGAGGAGGCCGGGGACCACACCCCGAGGAGGCCGGGGAACACACCCCGAGGAGGCCGGGGACCACATCCCGAGGAGGCCGGGGAACACACCACGAGGAGGCCGGGGAACACACTCCAAGGAGGCCGGGGAACACACCCCCAGGAGGCCGGGGAACACACCCCGAGGAGGCCGGGGAACACACTCCAAGGAGGCCGGGGAACACACTCCGAGGAGGCCGGGGAACACACCCCGAGGAGGCCGGGGAACACACCCCGAGGAGGCCGGGGACCACGCTCCAAGGAGGCCGGGGAACACACTCCAAGGAGGCCGGGGAACGCACTCCAGGGGGGCCGAGGACCACATCCCGAGGCGGCCGGGGACCACACCCCGGCGACGCGCCAGCGCCGGCCGGCCGCGGAGCTGCACCTGGTTCCCCGGCGACATGGGCGCCGCCACGTCGTGTGAGTTGAGCGCCCGGCTGGTCATGCCGTGCACCAGCTGCACGACGTCGCCGTTCTTCACCGGCCGGAACGGCGTCGTCACGCGCATGTCTTCGCTGGAACGGCACGGACGATGGTCGGGCGCGCGGCGCGAGCAGTGGCGTCGAAACACGGCGCTGGGGTGTACCGTTGGTGACACTGGACAGGCGCAGGTCGAAACCCCTGCGAGCGTTAACATAGCGCGACAGAGGCGACTACACCTTTCATTCCATCCTTAGATACATAAAGGTGGCAGACGCCATATCGCGCGCATGAATGATGCGAGCATACCCCGGCCGAAACGTGGAGATTCAACATCGCACCACAAATGCACGCATGAGTAGCTGACACCAGCGCAGCGTGCGCCGGAGCCGCGTCGGCGCGGCCGTCTGGGCATCTCACACGTCAGGATGCTTGACGATCCACCAGTTGTTGACGTCCTTGAAGCCGTAGCAGGAGACCTGCTGCTGGTGCGAGGAGCCGCGCTCGTCGTCGTATTTGACCGGGTAGACGCCCTCGTGCGAGTGCAGCCAGCAGGTGCGGCCGAGCGTGTGACGGAGCGTCACCTGAGAGCCGTGGCCCACCTCCAGCGGCTGGTTCCGGATGATGCTGGCCAAGCCGCCCTGGCGGCCGGGGACGACACGTCACACAGCGCCGAGGCCGAGCGGCCGCGCTGCGGCCGGCGTCACGGGCCGCCGGCTTCGGATGCGCGCGCGCGCGAGGAAGCGACACGTGCCGCCACGGCGGGTGGGCGCATATGCGGGGCAGAGGGCTGCCCGTGGCAGATTGACACGCGGCGTGCTACCGGCAACTACGTCCGCACTAACCGCCCGTGGAAGCGACGCGGCGAGCAAGCAGGCAACACGCGTCAACGACGGCCGTGCCGCCTCTCGGTGGTCCGGCTCGACAGCCAGAGCCCATCGCAGCTGGCGCTCGGCCGCGTGCTCACCAGTCCACGCCCCCTATCAGCGCCCCGCACCGGCCACGCTGGGGCGCCGCACGAACCCGCCCGGCACGGTCGTAGGTCGTAGCACGGTCACCCGCCCGAGGGCCGCGCCCCGCCCAACTCACATCCAGACTGGCCTGGAACGCGCTGGTCATCACGTTGTCGTGCGCGCCGGCCTTGTACAGCACGCTGAGGTGGACGTAGAAGCTGGCCAGGTAGACGGCCACCGGCACGGCCAGCATGAGCAGCGCGCGCACCGCCAGCTGGCTCAGCAGCTGCCGGTTGGTGATGCTGCGCACGGGGATGAGAGTCCAGAAGTCGCGGCAGACGATCACGCAGCCCAGCAGCAGCGTCAGCAGGCCCGAGTAGCGCACGCTGCGGCACAGGGGCGGCGGGGGTGAGCGAGGGCCTACACTGCGACCACCGAGTAGTAGCGCACGCTGCGGCACAGGGGCGGCGGGGGTGAGCGAGGGCCTACACCGCGACCACCGAGTGGGGACGATGCGGGAGTGGGGAACGCCAACAGAGTGAAGGTCCTGAGGGAATGGTGCACAATGTGTCGGAGTACGTTGGGGGCGGGGGGAGGGGTTGGCACATACTGGAGCGGAGTGTAGGAGTTAGGGAGTGGCGCGCACTGTGGCCGTGAGGCGGTCGTCATTGCGAAGTGGCATCACAGGCAGTGACAAGACGCCAGATACGGAAATAATACGGAATCGACGGAACCTCGCCAAATCCAGCTTTAAAATCAGCAATTGGAACAAATGCAACTTAACGCCAGTCAAATGCTGTAAAACAACTACAGCCTCCCCGCCGATCAACGGAGGAGTCCTCCCCAATCAAACGTCGGCGAATTCTGCATTCGAATCTGAATCGAATCCGAGACCATCAGCTGACTCACGTGGCGGCGGCCCCGAGCAGCGCGAAGCCCAGACACAGCCAGGTCAGCCAGGGCCGCGAGAACGGTCGGTCGCGGTACTGGCGGAAGCGCAGCAGGCAGAACACGCCGGACACGGAGAACAGCAGCAGGAACGGCTCCATCAGCATGAACCGAGACTGAACCAGCACAGCATTCTCTGGCGAATGAGGACACCATTAGGTTGCTTTGGTCGTGCACTGTCGCAAACGGCCACCTGTGCTCTGGTCCAGGCTCATATTCTATGGGCAGGCAAGCTTCACTTAGGCACCGCCCTCGGGCTGAGAGCGTCTCTCACATCCCGGCTCGTGCCACGGCAACTTCGGTCCCGACTCATACCTTATCATCTCATGATATCCAGCTCGGTGCCCGACCCCACCCACGATGCAGCCTCGCCTTCGCCTCGGATCTGCATCGGTCAGGTTCGACCAAGGCAGGTCCGAGGCGAAGTTCTCGGGACCCCGGCATCACACGTGTGCGAGCACAGCATGCGCCACGCGCGCAACACCCTCAGACAGAACGCGCGCGATCCCGACCAGCTACTCATGGCTCAAGAACACTTGGCAGACACCTCTGGTGCTACTCTGCTTCACTGGAGGCGATTCACAGTCAGTCTATCATAACTGGCGTTGCGTTCGGCGGCTAGGGCACGCTACTCATGCGTCTACGTGATGACTGCGATGATGAGGATAGGAGGTGACGAGGATAGCGGACTGGCGGAGGGCTGGGAGGACGGTCACCTGGCTGGGGGGCGAGGAGTCCGTGCCGAGCGGCGGGAAGCGCGCAGGGCACCGCCGGCGACAGGATGGCTCCGGATCTCGAGGTGGAAGCACAGGTCTGGTGCGGCGTCGGCCCCCTCCTCGGCGACTCCGCGCGGGAGACCGCGGGCCGCCAGACACGGCCAGCTTCGCGTTACGCCAACACCAGCGCAGCTTCCGACGACGGTCCCGGCCAGAGACCGTCTCCTCGGCTGGGCCACACGGGAACACGGTCAGCAGCAGCGCGCCGGCCCCCGCCCGCCGGTCGGCGCGTCCCCGCCGCTCGCGTACCGAGCAGCAGCAGCACGCCGGCCAGCGCCGCCGGGTACTTGGCCAGGCCGAGCTGGCGCAGCAGGCAGTAGACGGCTGGCAGCAGCAGAGAGCCGGCCACGGCCGGCAGCAGACGCAGCATGTACACCGGCACCGAGGCCGGGTACGGCGAGCCGATCCGGTCGAAGCTGAAGTCCCCTGCCCGGGCCGAGGCGTCACGTCAGTGGGGTCGCGCTCAGCCGGGTGCACACACTGGCAGCGGTGAGAGCTCCGCACGCGGCGGGCATCACCGCCACTCACCGCCCCGTCGCACTGACACGATGGCAAGCAGTCGAGAACGGTCGCCAAGGCCTCGGACGGGCAAAGGCACTATGCGTTGTGACTCTTAACCACTGGCGGGTGACAGCTTTCGTTTGACGATGGCCTGCAGCTCGACACTGGGGTCGTCCCCAGCCGGCTGGGCTGCGGGCTGGGGACGGGGTGCTGGGCTACACTCACCGTCGTAGCCGGCGATGTACGCCGCCAGGGCTATCAGCTGCTTGCCCAGTGGCGGCTGCGAGTCGAAGAAGAACATGTTGTTCACATAGTAGCCCGCGAACTTGCCGAAATGGAGCTCGTCAAAACTGGAAACGGTTAACTGAGTTACTACAGCGCCAAAACAAAACCAGGGCTACGCAAGAGACACGCCATTCCCATAACGTGGTGATAAAAACATTCGGGCTCGTGTTGAGCTTATTTACAAAACCGAACAGCTACCTCTGAATTGCCGAGATATACCGAACAACATCTGTTTCTGACGGGCCACCATTGCAACCACTGCTACACTTCAAATGGAGGTGATGAGGCTGGGTGGCTATGCCGGCAGCGGCGGCAGCCCCGCTCGTGCGGCTGGTGCACTTACACGATGGCACGGGGCAGGCCGAGCTGGTAAAGCCTGGTGACGAGGCCGGCCACCAGCAGCACCAGCGCCACCCAGTCGACGCCGTGGTGTGGCTGGGACGCCGCCGCCGGCAGGGGCACGAGCCGCCGCCGCCACCGGCTTGGCTTTCTTCTCAGCCTCATCCTGAGTCAGACACGGGGCTGAGTTAGGGCGAGGGCGAGGGCGAGGGCGGGGAGGGGGACAGGGACGAGAACACGAAAGAGGTGGGAGGCAGCCTATCACAGCAGCGCAGGTCAGCTGATCATCTGGGACCCTACCAGGCGAGATTTCGTGGCAGTGTGCAGCCTCGCGGCACTTCGAGACGTGCTTGCTGCCGCCTGTCTGGCAGCGCAAACGTCCTTCTGGACGATGAAATTCGGTCGCGCACCATCCAGAGGGCCACAGCGGCGAGATGTGGCGTCGGCGCCGCTCCGGGCCCCCCGCCTCGCCCGAGCCGGCCTGCCTCCAGACGCGCTACCGCCACGGATCATCCGGCCGGACCGGTTTTGGGATCGCGCCGGATGCCGACGGATATCGTGCCTGCTCTGTGCACCTCCACAGCCAGCGGGCGGCCGCCCGGCAGCTTTCATTTGCAGCACGCGACCAGTACGTCACATCGCACCGGAACAGTCACCACCCCGTCTCCACGCCGGGCTGAGTAGCTGGAGGGGGCACCGCAGAGGCATCCAGCCCCCACGGCCAGCCGCCAGGACAACGGCAGCGCGGGTCGGGTCAGGTCGGGTCGGGGCACGAGCCGACGCAGACGGCGCCAGGGGCGTGCCGTTGTCCGTTGGCTGGCTGCCGACGTAGCCGGGCACGCCCGGTTGGGCCTGTCGTGGTCAGGCCGCCGAGGACGCGGCGGCGCCCGCTCACAGCCAGCCGCCAGTCACGACTCGCCAGCCGTCAGACAACGGGTCTGCTCACTTGTCTCGGCGGCGGCAGCCGCCGCCGCCACCCGCCAGGCGATGGCGAGTCGGCCGGAGGGCAGGATACCGGGGGAAGGGTACGTGAAAAGGTGAAAGGGGAAGGGCGGGCGTATTCTCCAGAGGCTCCCGGGAGGTGAGCTGAGATGCAACACTGAAAGTTGCCTGCCCGTTCTCGCACTTGCAAATGTATTGCTGCCCTGATAATGATGATGATTTGGGCTTCGGGACGCACCGACTACGTTGGTCATATGGCGCCCATAACCCACTTTTCATCTAACGAATGTCTGACAAAGCGGGGAGATATGGTTACGTTCGACAGGTGACATGGAATTGTATGTCTTCAAAATAACTAAAATGTGGCCGTCCTTTACTGAGCTGGTGTCGTCTCCCAACACACCATAGAGCGTTTGAAGCACGGATCCTGATCCAAATGGCGCATACGTTCCGAGGCGAGGCGGGCACAATCTATCAAGACATGTCGTACGGTGTAACGATCCCCGCATTGCTGCCCTGTCGTGAATTGTAAGCGCGGATCTACCCTCGCAGAGCAAAATAACTTCTCAAAGGCCCCCACACAGGTTCGGTGAAGGAGCGAAAGGGGACTAATTCATGTGCAGATGGCGACGTTATCGACGGCCCACGAACCGGTTTTAAGCGCCACGCATGGATGAATAGGTGACCTGGGTTTTTGCTCGGGTGCGAGTCGGCATGCTTAGGATCACGAGTCCCAAAGACAAAACATACGAGCCGAACGCAACTTTTCTCGACGTTCGAACCTCAGAAAGGCGTAATTTTTCGAGACAGCGGTCAGGACCCTGTTCACGATTATTTCAAAGGTGAGTTTTTAGTGTATCAGAAAACGCCTTGCCTTGTCAGAAGCTGTCACGCTCCACCTGGTAAGTCAACGTCACTGCCGCCTGTTCCCATGCACAGAACAGTTATAGTGAAAGCTCCCATCATACCTCGAAATGGCACATGAGTTCTCGAATCATCACCGCGCGTCTGGCCAGTCAGTCAACACCCAAGTCGCGCCGCCGCAGTCGGCTGCCGGCGCAGACCGCGGACCGACAACTGGCGCGCGCCGCCCGCCCCGCAAGCGTTACTGTTCCGCTGCAGTCGCAGTTCAACGGGCGACACCTGAGTGACGTCTGACGTCCCCTGCAAAACTTGGGAGCATTTGCTGCTGACTCTGCGGGGCGCCGGCGCGTCACCGTCCGGCCGGCAGAAGATCAGCGTCACGGCGTCGGCGCCGCCGTCAGCGGCGCGCCGGGTCTGGGAGGTAACGGTGCGGTCGCGGCCGGCGCGCCCGTGTGACCGGTAACGGTCCGTGTCGGCCGCCCGGCGGCTGGCCAAACTGGCCGGCGCAGCCGACGCGCCGCGACCGGCAGCCTGTACTCGTCCCGCGCCGCGAGCGGCTCGTAGCAAGACCACAGCCTGATGTCCCAGTCTCACTCTCCGCTCACTGACGACAGTTGTGCGGAGCCGCGCGAAGAAAGAACGCGTATATGTGCCTTCCCTCTGGCAATGTTCATAAGGCGCGGCTTCCACCCCGCGTGCATGGATTATGCGCGCTGGCAATCCGTTTGGACATGAGACCTGCGACCTGAATGGTCGTTTCCACCAGCAGAATCTCTATACGAAGCGCCGATTATACCGAAGGTTTCCCCACACAAGAACACTTGCTCCGCGCGACAACTTGCAGACACAAAACAAAATGTTCGGGATAGTCGATTTCTTCTGACGCTGAAATGCGCCGCAAAGGGTTTCTTCACATCATTAAGCATGGATTCAATCCACCCGCCCTCCTTCATCGTTTGTAATAACGCGATCAGGTGGGGGAGGGGGAGGTCGATGCGACCCCCTGCTGTCTCCAAATTAAGAATGGTTATGACAGTCTTGTGGACAAACGGTGACTTGATCTCAACGATATCTCGCGATTGTTAATTAACACTATATTGCCCGGCCAATAACTGACCCCACAAAGGTTGTCAGCCAATATTCGACCCCACAAAGTTTTGAATGCCAATTTTTACGAAACATGTCACGCGACAGCATGAAGCATACGAAGAAGCGTCCGTTGTTTGTCTAAGATCATTTTTGTTAAGTTAGTGTACTGAGCATATTGAAGTGATGAAAGGAAAGGCTCCCCTAATCTCGGTGTCGTTCCCACAGCTCACGATCGAGATTCGTTGGTTGCCCCACGCCACGATAAATAACGGAGATAGAACAGCCGAGAGCGGGGAAATATCTGGCCGGTTGAGGGGGGGGGGGGGGGGGGGGGGGGGGGGGGGGAGAGGGAGACGGGGCGGAGTGCGGGAGTATCCTCCGACGCTAAGCATGCTAACAAAGGCCTTGGTGACACATTTCATCAATCCCGAGATTGTACTACCCACCGAATGCAGTGTTCGGTTCACAGCAAGCCCTCCCGTCCCTAGCCCGCGAGGCAAACCGGTTGGTTGGGTTTCCACGTGAAGATGAGCTGGCCGCGGCCAGCGATGTGAAAGTGAAGGGCCTCAGTGGTGCTCAACCGCGCGAGGGACGCGTTGTCATGCCAACCGGTGCCCGGGGGCACGGTTCAGCTGCTGCCACGAGTGCGCGCCGGGGCAGAGCAAGGCAGGATTGGCGTTGGCAGGTGGTCGGGGTGGCGGGGGGCGGGGGGGCTTTGGACCACGGCGAGGTGGAAATAAAAAGGAGAAACGCCAGGCATCAGCACCAACAAATACTGCAGTCGCAATCAAGCTATGGAAACCAGATATGCTATCCGGCCCAGCCATGTCGAGCAGAAACGCTATCAACCTGTCCATCCGCCGATTTCCAGAGTCCGGCAGCAGAAATTGCTCACACTCCCCTTCGGCGCAAGCAGCACGTGACACACATTTTGACACGACTGTCCCAACAGCTCGAGTCTTGCACACATTATGCTTGACCGCTAGTATGCCATTTTACAGAGAATACTATACTTTTTTACTCACAGTGTCACTTCCAGACACGAGGTTCTTCTTCAGATCCTGCAATTTTTCAATTCCCGATTTTACGAGTTCCTCGCCATCGACCACTTGCCCAGTGATGGCATCCGTAGTCTTTTTAGTTTGCTTCTTTTTTCTTTGACGAAGTTCAGAGTCCTCGGTTGCCATCATTAAGAAGCTGCCAAAGCTGCAACTTGAACCAGGGCACCGCGTAGCTTCCTCTGAAGCAATGAACACAGCACCCACCGCACCAGCCACACCACGCTCCCCGACCGACCCGAGTCACGACGCGAGTGCTGGGCGCTCCGCGGACTTTCCGATTAAAGACTGAAGCAAGGCCTTCCATAAAGAAGCCAAACTGATAACGTAAATTTCGTACTTCCTTAGAGTTAACAACTGACGTCACTGATACTCATATTTATCCGTCTGTCGTCCCCTACTTCATTTCGAGGGAGTATGTTCTTCATAACTTCATTCTACTACGCTTCTTCGCTAACGACGTCATTCTTAACGACTTTAGATATCATGCTCTGAGACTTTGCTCGTTTGCTGGCTTTTTTCTATCTGTGAGAATTAAAATCATGCCAAGTTGAGGGCTGACTGTAAAATTGTCATCACATTCTCAAACAAATATGCTCACCCTTTTATTTTCTGTTTTCAGTGATAAAAATTTGATGAACGTTTTGCTATTTACAAACACAATGCGTGTAATCCAAAATGAGATAGCCGGCAACTGACGGATCTCATTGGATGATGCTAGACAACCAGTGACGTCATTCACGCTTTGTATTTTATCCTGTTCCCTTTAGGCTACCACAGCAAATCGCGGCAAAAAGTGCAGGCTCGTATCGCTTCGATGGGGATCCCCAAAGCCCTGAAACAGAGGGGTGCCTCCTTTGGCGGGAGAACGAAGAATGGGTGCGCGGCAGCGGATCTCGCAAATATCTTTTTAGTGTTCCCAGAGGTGAGCCATGTCCACAGAAACAGTTTACATTTGAATGACAACTGGAATGTCAACGGGTTCCTTGGGGGTAACAGTGAAAGATATTGGTAGCTTCGCTGGGGTTCGTGCCGTAATATTACCAAATGTGTGGTAATTGTGCGGTAGTTATTTTTACAATAGTATGTACCAAGTGCCCGAGGTTTGGTACAGACATTTGTCGTATTTGTATCTGGGTTACCTGGTTGCATGTGTTCTGTCCAATTTTGTTTTCAGAAGTATAAATTTTGGGCATGCTTTTTGTCAATGCTTCATTGTTTGACTTATGGATATTTAGATACACAATTCAAACAACATGTGGCACATGGTTGATGAACTGATTTGCATACATTTCCCATCTATATTTTGTTTATGTTCTGTTTTGTTTTACATGCTTTTGTTTGGTTTCTAATGTAAATCTGTGGTTTTACTCCTTTGTCTAATTTGGCAAATAAGATATTACTATAAAACCCCTTGGCTTGATTTAGCAGGGTTAATTATTTGTTATTTTCACTTTAGGTATGCACAGGGAATTCATAAATAGAAGGCTACTTTGAATTTTGCACAGACATCTGACACATTTCTGAATCATCCTGAATTTTTGACTGGCTTGAGGCAAATTTTGCCTCCTTCTCCCCCCCCCCCCCTTAGTCAATGCTGGGTAAAATGCATGGTCCACATAGTTGAAAATACCTCAGTACCTTAAGGGTGAACTGGTGGTTTAGTGTGTGAAATGTGACAGACTGGTCTAGGGGATGTTCAGGTAGGTCAAATTCTGCCTCAGATGGGGCAGCCAGCTCTTCAGCATGGGGCAGGGGCAACGGCAGACCTTATTACGGGGGGGAGGGGGTGGAGCACCCTCCAGTGGTGGGACTGCCCTGGGTGGCCTCCAAGTGTGTTGCTGTCAATGTTTTCTTGCTTATACCAAAAGTCCAGTGTTTTACCAAAAATCAATACCTTCAAGCGGCAATAGTTTGCTGGAATGGAAAACCAAATTGTGAATGAAGGCTTGTCATTGAGGCTGAACCTTCAATGAGAAAAGTGGTGTAAAAATAATATTGTGCATGCACCAAGTGAAAAGTGTCAGAGGGAAACAGTTCAAATCTTTTTAACAATATGAATACCTGAAACATATATGCAATAGGTAGTTGTTTACACAGACACAGTCCACTGTGGCCAGTGCCACAGTTCACAGCCTGCCTCAAGATCACATGAGCTGCCCCATAATATCATAAGTTGCCCCATTTCAGTGAATCTGTCCAAAAAATAAAAAACTACCTTAAAACCAAAATATTGCAGCAGCCCTTCCCCAACAAGGTCTTGAGATCTGCCACTTTCTGCATACTGACTGGTACCTATCAGAATTTATGCTTTGTGATGTATGGCCTTGGCTGTTATAGAAAGTAACCATTCTTTTACACAAGTGGTGGCTTGTGAGCAGCCATTCTACAGATGTGATGGTACAGCATTTCCTAACAGGACATTCACAAGCATTAGTTGTACTGCACAGCAGACCAGTTGTCTGTAAAGCTCATACCCAGGCCAGAGAAACTAAGAATGTTTGTATACATTCATGGCTCACATTTAGTATTTATGGTCTAAATCAATTGATCTATGTATAAGTGATGTATCTTTGGCAGTGGACACACACATGCACACACACAAATGTTGATGGTCATCCACATACACTCACATACACACACCCATAAATAATATCTCCCTTTGCACTGCATCTGAGTGGGTTTTGTTGGAATAGCTCAATTTCAAGATGTCCTCACACTAGTCTTTTTCATGGATCAATGGTGCCTATGTTCTGGGTAAAATGACAAAGTGTATTTCTTGAGTTGTTGATATTTTTATATTTAAATGCATAAATCTAAAGGCTTGATAGCCATTATACAATTTTTCTATTCTTGCATGGAGTTGTGTTACAACACAATATCTAGGACCTGCCCCAAAGCATTATAGGCTGTGATTCTGTGCTTTCCATGATGTAGTCCCATACATCATCACATTCCAACATTGGCTATGCACCTCAGTGTCTGAAAGAGTGGCATAAAGTCATCCTGCTTGCCCCCATTGCAATATTTGTTGTGACGCCCGCCAGATGGGATGATGGTCTCGCGGCAGACGTCGGTGGCGAGCTCGCCGCGTGCTGCAGCAGCGCAGCCTCCGGTGCGCTGCTGCCTGCCTGTGGGCTACCTGCCGCCGGACCAACCACCGCCATACCGGACGCTGCCGCCTCCCCATGCGCCGTTCTCGGAGGTCACCACGGCGGACCACCTGAAGCTGAGCGTGGCAGAGGCCGTCCAGCGGCGCCTGCGGCGGCCGCCCGTGTACGCGCCGCCGCCGCCGGACGAGGGTCAGTTACAGGTCAGTGTCGGGCGATCGAGCCCCGGGCGGCGCACACCCAGCCAGCCAGGCCGTCAGCTAACGGAACGGATCGGGACTTGTTCTTGGTTGAATGACGACACCACATGGTTGCCTTCGGGGGCACCGGCTTCGGCCGGTGTAGGGGACTAGCGCCCCCTCGGGTCCCAGATCCGGTGACAGGTGGACAGCGCGAGCTGTTTCTCTCAGGGCATAGGGGCCCTGCCGGTACGTGAGCTCCCCCCCCCCCTTGGTCCGCCCGCTCCCTTCCCATTACCCGCTTTCCCGCATCCGGCCCACTCATCACTCTCCTTCTCCGCGACAAATGTTTAAAATCCCTTAACATCCTAAGGTGCGTGGGACGTACATCATGCATTGCTCATTGGAGAACGCTCGCCGTACCGCTCGCTGATCCGTTCAAAACTTGACGACGGCTGTTTTATCTATGACGGTACATCAGACCTGATTGAACGTGCTTTGAAAACGGTGCACCACGCTGCGCTACGTACCGCCACGGGCTTTTCGAACACCGCCCAAAGATAGTTTTCTGATGGAGTCCCGCGAGCCCCCACTAGCATTGCGAAGGCAGGTGATGGGCCTGCGCTACACGTGCAAGCTGGCGCAGTTCCCAGATCATCCTACCAACAAGCAGTTTTTGTCGCGTAGCTTATGGAGACTTTCTACTTCAACGGTCGCCATAGACTTCCCCCTTTTGTGTACGAATGTGAGAACTTCTAGACGCGAGCGGCGTCAACCACAACGTGTCATCAGACTTAAACTCATGAAGAATGCTCTCTGGGAGCTAGCATCGCCAAGAGGGGATGTTTCGCTATTAAACATGCAAAAGCAATGCGTTCTCATAACGGAAGTTAAAGGTGCAGCCTGGGGGCACATAGCCTCCTTTGACGGATACATGATGACTTATACGGATGGTTCAAAGACGGATGCAGATGTAGGGTGCGCTTTTGTGTGCGGATCCACAACACGGTCATTCACACTGCCTGCACACGCGTCGGTCTTTACTTCCGAGCTTATACCCACCAGGAAAGCTCTCTGCTTTATTGAAGTAGACGATAGCAATTTGCATTTGATTCTTTCCGACTCCTTGAGCAGCATCCTGGCTGTTGGTGGCTTCTTCTCGCTAAATCCACTGGTCCAGGACATTCTTCGCGTCTAAGCTCACTAGATCAAGCAGGAAAAACGGTCGCACTGCGTTGTATCCCAAGTCACTTGGGGATCTGCGGAAATGATCTCGATGACGCGGCAGCAAAGCTCGCTACGACAGGGGCACGCATTCCCAGGGGCACCACTGCCAGCTCAAGCCATGAACCCCGCAGTGTCTTCTTTTATGCAGAAGCGATGGCAGTTCCACTGGAACTTGGAGCGCCAACCAGCCAAAGTCAGTGAAACCCCGTATTTGACTATCGCAGTCGTGTTTTCGCGACAGTAGGAGGGAGGAAGTTGCTCTTTGCCGGTTGTTCATAGGCCACACATGCTACGCACCTTTACCTGTCATTGGCTGGCGACAGACCATGCTGTAGTGGATGCTCTGACCCGCCGACCGTGCATCACATACTCGTCGCTTGCCGTCACCTTGCTGCAACGAGAGTGCAGTTTTTCGGACTCAACGTCCAGAGTCGCACGCTTTGCCACTTTTCAGGGGATTGTCCACACGCTGTCGAGTTTGGTTGTGTTCCAGTTTCTTCGCGCTGTAGATTCCCCAGTAATCTTTTCATCATGAAACCAGGCCTGATCATCAAGGCTTTAAAGGGTGACCTGATTGATACACTTGCCTGATTTGCGGCTCTGCATAAAAGGATGGTTATGGGCGCTGCATGACCTGCAGCAATCGATGCGCCCCAAACCCCAAATCATCATCATCATCATCATCACATTTGGTTGCACGTGGCATGCTACCGCGAGTTGCAGGTGAGGGTGATGTTTTCGGGTTTTTCATGATATAGCATGATTGCATCCAGGCATCGTCGAAATGCCATGAGGACCCCATTTCCTGTTTCCTCAGTTGTTCCCTAATGTGGCGAACTCTGCGTATCAGGCAGAATTCTATTGCTCGACTACACTCAGCCTGTTATCTTACACCGCATTGTCAGTAATCCTATCACCCAATGTGATGACACTGCGTGCTTGCGTGCGTGCGCGTGCACATGTGTGTGTGTGTGTGTGTGTGTGTGCGCGTGCACATGTGCATTTGTGCGTGTGCGTGTGCGTGTGCGTGTGTGTGGGGTAACACTGAAGATGTCAAGCGCGCCCCAAAACCTGACTGGTTACCGGCGTCTCTGTATCTCGTCGTGTTGCTGAGAACGTGAGATGCTCCGCTCTTGCGCTGCGACCGAACCGCCTGCCAAGCGCGGGGGGGGAGGGGACCTGAGCTGAACAGTGCCGGCTTTGCCTCCCTGTTCTGGCTTCTACTTCTCAGTTACAAGCTGACTATTTGCCGTGCAGCGATTGCGCCCCATGGTGCCGACTCGGTCACGAATCATCTGTCAGCAATTGCCGGCATCGCCCTGCCCTTTGTGTCCTACAGTGTTGACTCTGTCCTGACTCGAAGCCAACGGACTTTCTTCACTGGGCTGTGGTTTCGATCTCCTCAGTTGCTGACTTGGCCCTGTGACGCCGTCCCATCCTCGGGTGTCGACTCTTCCGGTGCGCCAGCTTCGCCCTCCGCAATTGACCGTGTCGTGTGGCTCGCCCAGGATGGCGGCACCCCCTTTTGCTTGAGGTACAAAAACGTGTTGAGAAGCCTTCAAGAGACCGAGAAGAAGATGGACTGCCTGGAGGTGTTCGTGTCGCACGACTCCTACCCGCCGCAGCACGAGCTCAGCTACCTGGTGCACGATATCATGCTGGTGAGCGCCGGCCGCGGGGGCGGCAGCGGCAGCTGCCCGCGGTGCTCTGCAGGCCGCCGCCACCTCCAGTACACATGTAGGACCTCTGAAAGAGCCTTTAGACATGTGTTAGTGAAGTGCACGTTTGTCCTGTTTGCCGTACAGGCTCATTGTGTGTATTAATAAGTTTTTTTATTCATGTAATGCTGTAGTGATAATGCAAAAGCTCTCCATAGTTGAGCACGACAGTTACTTTAGCCACCCCAGCGACCTCGTGACTACTCACTTTCATACGATTCAGTAAAGTGAGCTTGAATTCGCTCATCGCTGCTTCACGTATCACTCATCACCCCGCGTGCTGCAGCTGCATGAGTGCCGCGCACTGACTGCCCCCCCCCCCCCCCCTCACTGACCCAGCGCTGGCCCGTCGACAGGTGTCGGAGGACGAGACACTGCTGCGCCGCTGTCTGCGCCTGCTCCGCGTGGTGGCCGGGTACCACGCGCCACACTCACAGGCCATGCGCGCTGTGTGGTATGACGCGCTCGCGGTCGACTCTGTCCCGGTGGGTGAACGGCGCTGGTGGCCACTGGCCAGGCGTTCTCGGTTGCGGGTGTCGTTGGTGGAGGTGTGGTCGGTGCGAAGGGGCACAAGGGAGAGGTGTTCAGCCGGCGCGGGCCGCTCTGCTGGGCCGACGGGCAGGAAAGCCCGATGCAGGAGCCGGGAGCAGGAGTAGACCAGGCAGCTGTGCCAACGGTTGAGCCGGAAGCTTTGTTGTCAGGGCTGAACGTACCAGTCTGGTGCTTTCGAGCCAACAGCAGGCCCACTGTAAGCCAGCAGTCACATCGCGCCTCGTGATCTCTGGCTGACGACGAACGCGGCGTGATTAGTGGCCGCCGGAGACGCCACGGTCCAGACCCGGCAGTGCAGTTGCGCTGATCGGCTGCGCTCTGGCTGCCGGCAGATCGCGTACGTGCTGGAGAAGGCGAGGGGCCGCTGCCTGGACGCCGGACTGCCATCGCGCTGTCACGTGCCGCTCACCGAGTTCTTCGACTTCCTGGTGACGCTGCTAGAGGAGGACATGACGGCCTGGAGCAGCAGGTCTGTGTGGCGGGGCGTCTCGGAGCGAGCTGCTGTGTGACCTCCGGGTCGCAGTTGACCGCAGCCGCCGCCTGAGGCCCGGGCCGGGCCGGAACGGGCTCTCCGTAATCGGAGCGGGGCCACTCTGACTCATTCAATTCGGCGGATCCTGCTTTGCAGCGGGATTTCGGCATGTTAGTGTCCTGTGCAAACTGCAATCCATTATCGTCGTGCTTAGATGCCATGTTTCCCCTTTCGCAATCACTTGCCCTTTTGGTCTGCTGGTCGTTGGTTTGGGCTGTTCTTTTTGGCGAGCCTCGTCCGTGTCCTCCGTTCGGTGGCTGAGCGCTGGCCGCCCGTCTGTGTCGCAGACTGGCACGAGCCGTGTCCTTGCGCGCGTGAGTCGGTGATGCCGGGCTGCGCTGATCTGCCTCGGGTGGCGACAGCTGAGCGGCGGCCTGCTCGGTGGCCTGTGCGGTGCCAGTGTTGACCGACAGACCGGTCCGTGCCCGACAGTGCGCTCGCGGCCCGGCGGCTGCAGGGGCGGCCAGCGGGGCGCCCGCTGCTGGCGCACGTGGTCTGGCCGTGCGGCGAGCCGGGCTTCAGCCGCCACGACACGGCCAGCATCTGCCAGTGGCTGGTGACCGCGCACGTCGGCCCGGCCGACATGACCATGCGGCTCTTGCTGCTGGTGAGACGCCGGCTGCGACGCTCGCGCCACCGCCGCCGCCGCCGCCGCCGCGGGCTGACGACGGTGGTCTCGCAGCTCTCTGCACAGAGCTGTATGGTGTTGTCTGCATCGGTTTAAAGCGCAGAACAACGGCGGCATACCGTTTTTCAAACGCATAGTTCAATTCTTGCCAATCCTGAGCATTTTGTTCCGTGTCACTGTCGTTGTCATGACATATGGACTCTCTTCGACACGGCGCGCGGCCGTGACACACCTACGGTCGCGCTTTCGGGCCGCGTGCCGACCTCTCCGCGTGACGTGACCCCGCTGTCGACTGTGACAGAGACTGATGGCTATGGCGGCCGGCCTGGTGCAGATCAGCTCTGAACGCGAGGACTTCCCCAAAGTCAGTGAGGGCATGAAGGAGCTGGCTATGGAGCTGGCCAGGACCGTGGAGAACGCAGGTGTGTGTTCTGTGACCAGCCAGGGCGACGGGTCTCCCCCTCTGCCCCCCCCCCCCTTCATTAGGTGTCCGCTTTAACATATCTGGAACAGATGGTGCTATTTTATTGCGTTTTTGGTGTGGTCTCATTTTGGGTGTAATCGTATGCTCCCAACCCTCGCATGGTCCCATCTTTCATAGAACCCTGGCCGTCGGTCTTGTAGCGCTCTTCTGCCTAGCCCCATCTCGCTTGTTACCATGCCTTCCATGTCTTCCGTTTCTCCCCGTCCCTCCCGTGGCGTAGTCTTCTAGGCTTCCCACCCATTATGTCCCGCTGCGACCGTGCCGGCCCTGTTCTCTGACCTGACACCGAGCGTGGATGGGCCGCAGACCTGCCGCCGGCCGCTGTGGAGGAGCTGCTGTGCTCGTTGCGGCCGGCCTGGCTGTGCGCCTGGACGGCGGCCGGCTTGCTGGAGTCGCGCTACGGTCGCTTGCGGCCGGCCCAGCTGTCGCTGCAGGTGCTGGCGGACACCTACCTGATGCCCGAACGGCGGGACGCGCGGCGGCCGTCGCCCGCCTGCACCGAGAATGAGAACAGCTGGTCTGCCGGACCGCAGGTGCGCAGAGCCGTCTGGTCCGCCGCTGGACGCGCGTGTCGACAATGATGAGGGCGGGCGCGGCGCCGGTCCCGGTCGCACCCGGCCACGCCTTGTGTGGCGGTGGGATGAGCGCGGCGCCGGTCCCGGTCGCGGGCACAAGCTTCGACTCGTGTCATGACGGACGCTGGCGGCGGTTGCAGGTGTCGTTCGCGGCGAACGGCGAGAGATCGAAGGACGTCGCCGGCGCGGCGGCGGGCCGCAAGCGGTGCAGTCAGTCGCCGCCGGCCAGTCCGGCCCGAAAGCGGCCGTTTGCCGTCAACGGAGTCGACGCGGACGGTGAGCTTTCGCCGCCCTGCCGCCTCGGATGGCGGCCGGTGTCTGGGAGCGGCTTGTGTGTGTGCTGCTGTCCGTGGCGGCCGCTCGGGTGGTTGCGTTGAGCTTGTTTGCTTTTGAGCCAAGTATTTGCGTGATGAGGGATGGACAACGGGCGGGAAGAAACAACGGGGTAAGGGAGTTCGCTATGGCTGTCCAGTTTTGGAGAGTGACCGAAATAGAGCGATTATTGTTCAGTGACCACCGCAACATTTTCGGGGATTCAGTAATTCGCTGTGTTGGGAATTACATTGTCATGCAGCAAAACTCATTCAGCCTCTCTTCATGCGGTTGGTGCGGCGTCCTTTCTGGATGTCAAAATCTGCCACCATTGCGAAAAATCGCCTAAGACCAAAGTTTTCTTTAAGTTCTATAACCCTGAGCTATAAATGTGCTGTAACCCTATAACCCTTCTATAAATGAGCTGTGAAAAACGACGAGCCTCTCGAAAAGTTGCTATCACTGCCGGGCACCCCTTTACCCGGGGCCGTCTCCTTAAAGTTCCACTACTTAACTCATCAGACGCATTTTGTGACGTTAGATAATTGTTACGATAACAGAAGTATTGCAAAATGCGCAAATATTTTGGTGAATGGTGTTCACAGTGAGCAGGAATGCGCACCTTTGCAGTTGTATGGCCCAATCTTCCTGGGTTCTGCCCCCAGCCTTTTGCACTTGAAGTCGACTCCGAAAAAGTTAGCAGTGGCTGTTTTTCGGTGACCAAGTGACGCCCGCCGTCAGGGGTGGACAGTTTGGAGATCCGTCTGGGAGTTGTAGCCGGTACATTTGCTTACACCGGGCAATTAGGTTCACGTATCCGTCCCCTCTGGCTGCCAAAATCTGCCTTTAACGCCTAAAATCGTCCCAAACTGGCGGATCCGTGCTATGCGCGCCACAGGACAGACCGCCTGCACACAGTAACCTACGCTTTTGGCGGCTGCATCGTCCGTGTTGTCCTCTGTCTGGCCCCATTAGTCTCGTGTCACTGCAATGGAGAGTCGTCAAGGTCAACGCGTCCTTAACCTGTGTCTTTCCACCTTTTGCACAAAGCAGGTTTTACCTTTTTCATCTCATTGAATTGGGGAGTCCAAATTGGGGGTGATATTGCAGTGCTGCAGAGAAAGCGTTGTTCGGATTTGCTCACCTTCTTCCATGCTCCTGTCCATTGTGCCGTTTCCAAGCCACACTCTCGTTCACCCGGTCCCTGCGGCCTGCTGCGCTGCTGCTGTGACCTTTGCGTGGGGTGGGGCCGCCAACCTCCCCGCTTCACTCCACTCCAATCCAATCCAATCCAATCCAATCCAATCCACTACACTGCAATCCACTCTACTCCACTCCACTCCACTTCACTTCACTCCATTTCACTCCTGTCCACTTCACTCGGCTCCAGCCGCATTCCTGTCTGACCGCCAGTGACTTGGGCTGCTCTGCACGTAGTGATTGGGACTGTTTGCGTCTTGGACGACATGTGCTCGACTGAGCGCATCAAGAGACGTGTGGTCTGCGACGCTCAGTTCGGCACGCCCCCGTGGTCCACAGGCTTTGGTGCTGACGTCTTGTTCGACTGGAACGGCCCTGTCCCGTCGTGTCCTGATACGCACATTGCACATCCCTGCTCCCAGGCCTGACGTGCTGATTCTTGTGCTGCCCGCTGACCTGACCCGATTACCCGGCTGATCCAGCGCTCTGGTTCCGTGTAGTATACTGGTGTGGTGTTCAAATATCGTGCAATATCGGGACATCACGTAAAGGTGTGACCTGGCACGATGTCACCGAACGACACGGCCTGCTCACTTGATCGTGCACTCTGCCTCTTCCCGTGGATCCAGCCCCACCGGTCATGGGCTGTGGGAAAGCCTGGCACATCCGGCTGTTGTGATAGCGTCCAGTAACGGCTGTCGTCACGTCATTTTCTGCGACGTTGTCGCTGCAAGGCACTGCACTGGGGAGTGGTCGTTCGTCGGCCTACAGTGACGGGCTTCCCCCCCACGTCTGGTGGCGCCTCTCCTGACCTGCTGCTGCGCCATCCTGCAGACGAGCGCACGGCCCCGCGAGACGGCGCGAGCGCGCTCCCGCCGGATCCGGACGAGGCTAGCCCGGCCGCACCGGCCGCCGCCTCGCGCGACTACTCTCTGCTGGCGCACCACCTGCTCACCGGGTATCTGCTGCACTCGGGCGTAACGGAGGTGCGCGTGCTGCTGGCCCGCCGGATGAGCAGGCCGGCAGCGGCGGCAGTGAGCGTGCGCACTCCGCCGCGCTGTCTCGACGGCGCGACCAACGTCCAGTACAACGGGGAGCTGCGCTTCATTGAGGAGCGGCTGTGGAGATGGGTGGTGAACCGCTGGCTCCATCCGCGCTTTGCGCGCTACATGCGCAACGTCACGAAACTGTGAAGACTCGGCCAGCGACCTCTTCAGAGTACAAAGGTCTGGTCAGTAGAACTCACAACGGTGAATCCACGTGATATTGATTTGGGAGGCGAGACCAAGTCTATTGCAAGTAGAGCCTCCGGTACAATTTCATGCTGCACTGCCGGCTTTATCACTTATGGCATTGAGATGTGGGATTACGCTATATCTAGTCGTTAGCGGGGTTGTGAGACATGTTGAAGTTTGGCTTTGCCTCATGATTTGCTGCAGTTATGAACTTTTCGCGGTGAATTACTGTTAATATCAGTGAGGATCTTTCCAATGGATTTAAAACGCACAGAAAGTTTGTTTGGGTAAGACGGGTTTTCGCTTACGCTTACGCGCGACTTGCACTGTATTTTATACGAATTTGCTGCATGTGTGTGTGTGTCTTATGCTACATGTTTTCCAGACTGAACTCATTTTTTATCTTTGCCGTCCACCGCATGCCTCGACCAGGTGAATCGTGTGTGTCTTGGAGACAAACACTCAAGGTCGTGCGTGGTAGCCCGTCCCGCCGCTGCCTCTATGGTGGGAGGAGGCAAATGAACACGCATAATTGTCTGAAATGTTTGAGTAACCTTGCAGTACACCTGGAGATTTGTTACAGTCACAAGCTGATTGATGCAGTTCCCGACGGCCGTTCGGCCGCCTGAGTTAGAATACTCGCAACTTGTGGCGTCTCCGTACGCCGTGATGTACCTGATTCGCTTGTGATTGGATCAATGTGTACCGCTCATCCAGATGAGTGCCTGGGAGATCACCGCCGAATCATGCTGCCAAACTCATCCGGCTCATCCGTCGTGTTATCCGTCTCACCATGCTTCATTGCTAAAGAGCTACTCTCAGCTCACGCATAGAGTAAAGTAGCCCCCGGTTGGGACGACCAATGGCAGTCAGAGCCTTAACGGGTGTCTACCTCTTGTATACGGTCCGCCGGGCGCTTATTAGGGTGCTGCCGCTGCTGCAAATACAGATTGGTTGAAGTGGCCTACTCTTGCCAAGCGCCGCACGCTGAGTCAACGCAAGCTAACTTGGCGGGTGAGCTTCCAGCGGATTTTTTCAGGATTCTTAAACAGACAGTTGTTCTCTGCGCACGATGAATGGTCGCTCACGCTGAAGTCCACGGCGAGCATTGCGGTATTTTTCATCAAGAGGGCTGCCTGGCTGCAGCAGATTTGGCGGTCAGACGAAGCTCGTTTCCATTTGAACCGTTAAGTTAGGCAGTAGAAATATCGCTGCCGTGGAGCTTGAACCGCCAAAAAAGTTCCCGAACGACCTCTGCAACCCGCAAGCGCACCTGCTGGTGTGCCGATCGCTCACGAGATGACCTTTGGCCATCCCCGTCCGAGACAAATAATGGGGAAAGGAAGCGGCCCCTGTGAGCACCGCCGATGTGGGCACGTCCTCAGAAATGTCGGGAAGACTGATGCTTGCAGCTTGTGCTGACATTACATGTGCTAACAGGACGCGTGTATGTGCGGTGAGTGTTCCAACACGTGCCAACCACATACGGTCTCTGAAGCATTGTATGGCGGTGGGTCACTTCGGAGATCGACTCTGAAGCATTGGGTGGCGGTGGGTCGCTTCGGACTTCGACTCATTGCCTGGGGAGTACGTGCCATCACGAAAACAAAGGTGAAGCTGGTATTTGATGGCATGTCTATGTGAATGGTTAGCATTAACTATTGATGCAAACTGATAAAAGCAAAGCATACTTAGTGATACTCAAACTCTCGTACATTCCGAAAGTCGGGTGAATACACTTGCGCCGCGCTCGTCGACCCACTGCTCTGTCTCAGCTCCGCTGGCTGGGGTGCAATCAAAGGGACAGACTCGGACGACCGAGTCCTGGCCCGTGGTGTGCCGCGCGACCCTCGACCAGCATCACTCCGCTTGTGTCCGATAGATGGCAGCACTCAACGTGTTGGCCTCACGGACCGGCGTGATGGCCACACGCACCGGTCTGGTGGCCACTCGGAACGGTCTGATGGCGACACGGAACTGTTTGATGGCCATACGGAACGGTCTGATGGCCACACGGAACGGTGTGATGGCCACACGGGACGGTCTGATGGCCATACGGAACGGTCTGATGGGCACACAGAACAGTCTGATGGCAACACGGAACAGTCTGATGGGCCCATGAAACGGTGTGATGGCTACACGGGACGGTCTGATGGACACTGGACACTTCCCGGCAAGCGCGCTTGCTCCACAATGTGTAGACATATTGGCACGCCCACCTGTCAGCCGGCAGCTGGTATGGTTAGGTTTATCCACTTTATCACAACCGTTTTTTTGTTTTTGGTTAGGTTTACGGAGCCTTTGCCAGCAGGTGGTTGTAAAAGAACTGCAACTGCAGAGAGCGACAGCAAGTTCAGTCTCAGGCGTCGCCCATGGGACTCATCTCAGGGGGGCTTTCCAGCAGTCGTGTGTGGGTTTGCCCGATGTGTGAAATACGCCGGCACAGTGCCGTGGAAACCTGCGAGAGACATTCCCTCGGCTTTTCATTAACGGTTTCTTTTGAACGGCTGCCTGCTACGTTTTTATAGGGGCCAGCTCATAGCCAACTGGATGTGGCAATGGCATGGACGCTTGAGAGACGCCTCCAAACGACGATGTCGATTATTTTTAGCTTCTTTCGTGTGCAGGTGCTTTTGTGTGGCCAGAGCTGACTGGCGTATACCATAAGCGCTTATTCATGCCTGGGGCCAGTGCTGTGCTGTCGGTCTCGCCCGGTCTCTCCATGGTAATAGCACCACGCGCCAGCTGGAAACCACGTGCCATAACAAACGTCGGCAGGATCGCCGGCTACACTGGCAACTCCCGAGATAGCTAGCGAAGACCACCGTCGACACACACGTAGATAAACGGCTGCCACGACGCTGAGCGCAGTACGCTCCGTCGCGTACGGCGCGCTCTGTATACTCTAGCCGTGATGATGGCGATGTCCGCGATACCCGGAAGCGGTCTTCCCGGGTCATCTTTCTCAGAACGCGCCATTTGGCTGCATGCTTCCGCCGGCTAGGCAAGGTCAGGCAACGCGCCTGCTACCCCGGCCCGCTGTGCAGTGCACTGTCCGCCATTTGTCTCCGACTGTCATCAGCCGGCGCTGTCACGGACGAGCCTTGACCGCTGGACTCTGGGCCCGGACTCCAGGAGAGTCACAGCCCTGACCGCTGGACTCTGGGCCCGAGCTCCAGGAGAGTCACAGCCCTGACCGCTGGACTCTGGGCCCGGACTCCAGGAGAGTCACAGCCCTGACCGCTGGACTCTGGGCCCGGACTCCAGGAGAGTCACAGCCCTGACCGCTGGACTCTGGGCCCGGACTCCAGGAGAGTCACAGCTCTGACCGCTGGACTCTGGGCCCGGACTCCAGGAGAGTCACAGCCCTGACCGCTGGACTCTGGGCCGGGGCTCCAGGAGAGTCCTACCCTTGGCCGCTGGACTCGGAGTCCGGACTTCGGCAGAGTCCCAGCCCTGACCACTGGACTCTGGGTTCGGACTCCAGGAGAGCCCTAGCCTTGACCGCTGGACTCTGGGCCCGGACTCCAGGAGAGTCCCAGCCCTGACCGCTGGTCTCCGGGTCGTCATGTCAGGAGAGACAAGGCGATTCGGAGGCGCGACATTTGACGGGCGAACCTCGTGCTCCCCCGGGCACGAGTGTAGTGGGAAGCGCCGATAAATAGCAATAACACCGACCAAAGGCGTGGGTCACAGGATTTTGGCTACTTACTAAGACGGTTGCACATCGGCTACTGCACCGTCAGATCTCCAGTTTTCAGTCTCCTGCCGCCACACTGTGGGGTGAGCAGCACTCACCACAGCTCAATAGCTCAGCTAGCTCAGCTTAATAACTAGCTCAGCTCAATAGCTCCTGTCCGCGATGCCACTTATCGGCATTGACCTACACCTCCTGCGCATCTGAAACTCACAGAGACTGAGTTTCGTAAACTAACTTGAAGGAGAGTGGGAAAAACAGTTTTTCCGGATTTGACCCACTTTCTTCCGAATAAGAAACTGCACCCCTTGTCGTAGGGCCCCCTCCCCCTCCTCCCGCCTGTGCCCGTCTCTTCCGTCCCGGCAGGGCCTGCGCCGCCGCCCGGCGCGTGGAGCGCTGGAAAGTCCCGCCGGCAGCCCACGTGACCGACTCCCCTCCCCGGGGGCCGCGGCGCGGTGTTTATACCGAGCGACCAGGCGGCTGCCGGCAGATCGCTGGCGGCCGCGGCGCGGAGGCATATACACGCGGGCGACCCGAGCCGGCGGTGGTGACAAAGGCTGGCTCAGCCATGGCCACGGCGGCGCTTACATGGGTGGTGCTGGTGTGTGCTCTGGTCGGCGCTGCTCTCTGTCAAGGTGAGAACCCTCGTCGGGAGGGGAGGCGAAGTGCGCGACATGGGGCAGCGGGGGTTAGCGTTAGAGGCGGCAACGACGCGAAAGACGTGGGAGATGTGTGCTTGCAACTTTCGAAGCGTGGGGACTGTCCCCGCTATGTAACAGAGACCCGAAATTGTCGGACAAGTGTGCACGAGTTCTCGTCAAGCGGGTAAACGCGCAAAATCCTACGCGGTACCCTAAACGCTCGGCATTAAAATTTGAGGGCTCTCTCGGCCCCCATGGCTAACCCTGTCGCCGTTCCCCACGGCCAAAAAATTGTGCCACCGCCCATGGCCCGCGTGGAGGGGAAGGCGCAGCGGCTGTGCGCGGTGTACGTGCCGGAGAGAAACGGAAGATGTTCGCCGACCTGACCTCGGTGGACGCGCTTTAGGCCAACTTGTGGGCCATGCTGTTAGGATTGTACTCGACTCCGTGAAAGCAATATATGTTGAACCCAGTTGAAATTGATCGCACTGAGCAAACCGCGTTGACCGGATCAGTCCTGATTCAATTTTGAAATGTGAATAGCAATGTAACGACAGCGTCCATACGACCAGTTCATGAACACCAAAATTGCGCATCAAACGTGGTGTCAAGGTCTGTCGTCACAAAATGTGTTATACTAACTTTAATGTGGCTCATAGAAGGGTCCATATTCTCAACTATTGGCCACAGAATGGGCTCAATCTGAGTCGATTTAGGGTTATTAGAGGGTCGTAGGGTCAAAGAAGGGTCACTTACATTTCTGTATCCTCACGACGGGATGGACTCCGCTGCGAAGTCCAATCGTCCTCGGCCCAAAATAGAAACCTTCTCGATGTGAAGTCAGAGCATTGAGCTTATATAGAAAATGACATGTTTCTGTTCATTTTCATCGGGTTCGACTTTCTCCAAGATCTTGTAAAAGGGCTTTTCTGCACTCCTCATCAATGTGCGTGCCCCGCAGCTTTGCAGTGTCGCGACGCCCCACGCATGGCCGTCTTGGATCCGCTTCTGACGCAGGGCAAGTGGACATGGCTTTAGCGCGCAAATGTTGAGAAGCCTGCAATAAAGGACTTTGGATAATAAGTAGGACGGTTGCGTACCATCACCTAGTACGAAATTATCACGCCAGGCCTTTTCCTCGAGCAAAATCTTACCTTGTCACGCAATTGTACTGGCTGTGTGGCCTAGTTTTGCCTTTCCGCCGTCACAGCCACCTGAATCAGCACGCGGTGTTCTTCGATGGGCGACCTGAACTTCTCGACTTCAGCGCTGCTTGGGCGCTGTGAACATCGCATCTGACCATTTCAAGGGCGGTGACATTACGTAATGACCTGGCTTCTTGTCCTGAGCTGAGCAGCCGAACGAGCCGGACGGCGGCTTTGAGCTGTCCCGGCACATGACGGGCGCGGGTACCGCGGAGTCTGGTCGGCTGTGCTCGTCTGTGACGTCACCTGGTCATCGAAGCCAGGTGGGTGCTTTATTCACAAAAATAGTCTCCCTGGGTGGATCTCTGAGTCACGGATCTCCGAGGTCCCGGGATCGGAATGAAGGATCTTCTGGCATCTTGAGCTTTTTAAAATTTGGTATTCAAAAAGCAAGCAACCGAGCAGACGGAGAAAAGCTTCAAAGTGAGCGACGCGGACGCCTAAGTCGGACGTAACGCGCAAGCGAGTCAAGAAATCTGTGGATGTCTTATGTGCGTGCCACTGTATGCAACATTACCGCAACAGCATCGTTGGTGTACTACGCAGTGCTATGTAGTGGACACAATCGTGGCTGCGCGACCTGCACACTACTAAAATTGATGTTCAATTTGCGAATGAATAGATAAAATACAGCTGACAGGATATCTGTCTCCCTTCGGTATTCGCCCTCGCTTATTGTCTTACGCCCGGCAGACTTCCATGTCATATTGTTCCCTCCCCACGAAGCGGTGGCGTGGGTGTTTGCATTTTATATTAGCTTGCGGGGCATCCAATATCATCTCGTGTGTGCGTGTTTGTAAAAGAACTAATAGAAACGGGTATCAGGGACGGTGGTTATGCAAAAACCATGCATTCATGTTTTAAAAATGGACGGTTTATTTACTCTGTGGTGGTTTTGAGAAATATATGCATATATATATATATATATATATATATATATATATATATATAACAGTTATCAAAGTCGGTACTTATTCAGGCCCACTATGTTAGAGCCCGCAAACCTGACGCCTACATGTCCACTGCTTAAAAAATGACAGACTGGTCCAAGCGTTTTGATTGGATGGATTCCTGGGATGAACGTCCGCGGTAAGCAGTGCATGCCCCGTGAACGCTGACCCCGCCATACGAACGGCAACTGCCCGGTCGACGGCAAAACTTCCCGGCGAAAGCTTTGTGGCATTGCTTAGCATGGTTCTTTCTGTCCTCCGACGGCACCGAATCTTTAGAGCGACCGCTGCCGCGGAACGTATATTACCTAAGAGAAAGTATATATATATGTATATATATATATATATATATATATATATATATATATATATACATATATATACATATATATATATATATATATATACATTATACATGTGTTTGCGTGTGTGTGTATGTATGTATGTGTATGTATGTATGTATGTATGTATGTATGTATGTATGCATGTATTCATCAATTTGGAAGGTCTTTCAACTGTATATTCCTTTCCAATTGCTTTGCTTTCTGTTCAGTTCGTTCCGTCTGCCTTAAATCCTATATCCCCTTGCATACTTCCTACCTAGGTATTGGTCTGTATTAAATTTCTTACACATTCTAGCTGCTGGATTGTCTCTTGTGGTTTCCTTGGCTTTAGCGTCACTCCCGTTTTTTGCTGGCTTCTTCGGCATAAGTCTGCTACTTCCTGGTTGTTACTGTATCTCCGTTGTGACTCCAAGCAAGCTCCTTGCGATTCGCGTGTACATACTTTGTGTCAGAGAGAGACCTGTGTCCTCGCTGTGATGTTCTCATAACCGCACACCATATGGTCAGCCCGTGCCCGCTTCGCAACGCCGGGTGTCGGCGCTGTTTTGAAAGGTGTGCTTCAGCGCCTAGGTATTGCGACGTTCTAGGAAATGAAAAATGTTATTGACAAGGGCAAACTTTTACTTTTCTGAGAGTTCATAGCCCTAGGCCTTCAGCCATATACAAACCCGGTTCGACAGGTAACACTCCGTCGTGGGCGCAAAATCGTCGTAGATGTCGGCGGGCCCCAAAACCCAATAATCATCATATCATTAGCTGGGTTATAAAAAATATATGACAGAAACACCAATGCGCTGCCAAAAATGTCCCGTAGCTCGCAAGTTATTGAAAATGTTTGCACTAGCATTCCTGATGTACTCCATTTGATCTGGAGATTCATATGAACAAGGCGTCTTTACTGACCCCGTGATGAGTACTTTGAGTAAACCTAAATTGAAGCAACTTTATGCTGATCTGAGCATAATACATATAATAACTTGCAATCAGTCATGTAGCTTTTATCATCATTCACACGGCAACGTTTAGCACGCCATCAACAAGACAAAAAACAATACCAAAACCCTTACGCTCTTTTAAATTGACTGTTGTCATTACCGATGGCAAATTACGATAACAAGTGGTAGGCAGTATGTGCAGTTTGTGCGTAGTGTAAACCTCTTCACCCTTCAAGACGGACTAAGCCAAGACCATTTTGAGCCAGGCATGCAAAACAGGCCTGTAAAGAAGAACATTTGTCAAGAAGCCACGTGCCATCAGGCAGGCAGGACTTCATCATGCCACGCAGTCCCGCACGATGCACACTTTTACTGCACGACTTTGCTTTGCCGCACTCATCCTGCCAGGGCCTGCTGTCGTCTGTCACGCAGCCTGACATGTGACGGCACAGGCCTATTCCAATCGTTACTGGATGTTGCAGTCGCGCTGCGGGGCCATACCCGGCGTCACTTGCCGGCCAGCGGCGGCGGGACGCAGGCCGGCGGCAGTTGCGCCTGGTTTGCCTGTTGTCTGGCCGTTACGCGGTGGCTCAGTCAAAATTGACTGTAGATGTGGGGTCCACCACTAAACCACAGTGAGGCCGCGGTCTTTCATAAGCCAGAGAGCTCCCGCGTGCGCGCGGCATGCCTCACGAAGAGCAGCTGTGTCAGCAGATGACAGACGTGGTAGCTGCGGTTGTGGCCGGCTCACGCTATCACGTCTCGTCAGCTGTCCGGTGGCGGTACTAATGGCGCGAACACGCAGCAACTAGCCGGGCGTGGAGGGGGAGAGCAGCACAAACGCTGTTTATAGTGACGGCCCGCCGGAGCTGACTGCCTCCACGTCTGTCTTCTGTCAAGCGATACACTAATGCTTGTTTATTTAATCTGACGCCCATCGTCACAGGCCTGCGGCACTAGGAAAATCCAGTGATACGCTAAAACAGTGGTCTTCAACGTTTTCTGAAACTGCCCAACTGTGCCCTCCGAACTATCGCCCTATCTAACTGTCTGCCGCAAAGCACTGATGAATTGGCAAAGTGGAAATATTGATTTGTTGCGATTTGTCTTCTTCGTGAGGTGTCTGGGCAGTCAGATGGTCACCAAAGTAAGCCGATTAATAACAAGCTTTTCATGCGCAGAGGAATTTGTCCTCCAAGCTCATAGTATTCAGGCCCTGATTACCATAAACAAAATCAATTCATCGATGCAACATCCAAAGTTTGGACAAAAGCCTTTCTTCTTGAAATGTCAGCTTTTTCGGTGCAATAGTCTTCATCTCCAAATAACGTAACCATCGTTTTGCTTACAGAGAGCCCATGCCCTGAGGCTATGGGACTAATCGCCACGAAAGAATGGTCTTTTAGTGCGCCGTAGTCGTTAACTTTCTAAGAAACATACCGACCTTCGATCACCATTGCCACAACGGTCGCTGACGCACGGGTTGTTTTGCAGATAAGACATGCGCCGGCAATTTGTGCGCTGGTGAGAGGAAGTTGATTCGCAGGACGGATGCCATTG